ATGCTAATTCAGTCTAGGGCACAGGGCGGCCGCGAGCTTGCCGCGGCGCGCCGGGGAACGCGGGGCGAGGTCGTGAGCCGCGGCCGCGGCCAGCAGTGCAACGCCGGGCCCAAGCAGGCGTCGAATACACCAGCATCAGAAGGGCGAAGGAAGGGCCGAAGCGGAAGCCAGCTGAAAGGAATAAGCCGGCGGCTAGCAGGCGGCGTGGTTCTCGCGTTGCGCGAATCCATTCTTGGCGCGCGATCGTCGCAATCCGCCGGCGCAAAGGGGCACATCAGCATTCAAACCTCACCGCCCTTCGGCGCCCCCGATCTCGGACTTCTAGGGCGAAGCCCGCGAGGGATGTCGTTGAAGGCAGTCGCGGAGAGCTCGAGCATGTTCCCCCGGGGTGCGCGAGAATGCGCGCGCGCGATTTTCGTCGCGCGTTTTCGCGCGGCGCGCGACCGGGGGGGCATCTGCCATAGCGATTGCGCTAAACAGGGGAAGGAGAAATCGATCCGCATCCAGTCTCGCGAGATAGGCCGGGCTCCGGTGCGAGCGCCATCAGCGCGAAGGACGGTCTGAAGAAGGTCATTGCGCGGCCATGCAACGCAGCGGGCGATGCTGGAGTCCGGGGGCCGACGAGCTAGGAAGCCCTTGGCTGTTTTGGCTGGCGTTGATTTTTCGGAATTGCCGCGGCCAAGGCCGCGGGGCCTGCCATTGAGGGGCGCGAAGCCGGAGGGGCGCCGGAGGACTTGAGGAGCCGCGCGCCCGCCGCGCAGCGCGTCGACGCAGACGAAGCGAAGCTGATCCCACAGGGGTTACTGACGCGTCCGCAGAGGTGACGATGGCTCAGCGCCATGTTTTTAAAGGGACGGACCGCGCAGAGACGACGAGGAAATGAGCGCATGCGAAGGGGGTCTTGGCCAAGGCGCTCGCAGCGCTGGAAAGCCCGTTGTCCGAAGAGCGCGGCGGCGATGAACCTCGCCAGTTTTTTTGCCGCATAGTAGCTACCGCTGCTCGGCGGTTATCCGCCAGCCCATTCTCGCCCGCGGCCGCGCTGGGAGCCCGGCAGTCTCGGTGCGCCCAGGAGCTCCCAGCGAGGGGGCTGCCCGGAGGGCCAAAGCGGTATGTTCCAGCAGACAAGCTCGGCTCGGACGAGTATTCGCCGTCGGTGCAATTCCCGGCCGCGCGCGCTCCTCTCGCGGGAAATTTCGACGTCCCCTGATCTTCGCCGGCGCTGCGGGCGCGGCGCCCTCTCGCGGCAGGACATGCGCAGCCGTGCCCAAGGGCGTCGCCGGGGTGGCGCGGAATGCAGATAGCATGTGATGTGGCTCGCGCAAGAGAACGGACTCAAGCCGCAGCTCGCCGACCTCGCTTTTTTCCAACGCGCCTCAAGTCCTGAGTCCGACGGCGTCGAGTAGAAGATGGACCAAGGGAGCCGAGATTGCGCCGCCCAGACAGGAGGTCGGCAGCGCCATTTGCGCGCGGAAGGATCGGCCTGAGCACCGCGATCGAGCGCATCTCTGGCGCGAGCCCGACCAACGCGACCCGCGCCCGAGATTCGTCTACGCTGCAGGCGTCAATTACGGGCGGGCTGACATTGGGAGGAAGGGCGATGTCCGGCGCGACGGACTGCGCGGGGGATGTCTCCCGCGTAAACCAAATGCTCGCGACCGGCAAGTATGCCGAGCGCGTGCTGCGGATTTTCCCGGAGGAAATGCGGATTCTCCGCAGATGATGAGAGATTCTTGGCATTCGGAGATGATGCGGATTCTCCGCGCTCTAGGGGACTGTCCGAAAAAAAAGAGGCCAGGGCGCGCGGGCCCACACGCCCGCCCGAACGGAGTGACGCAGCCGCCGATCTGGCGGCAGACGCAAAGGCGCCCGGCCGCAGAAGCGCGGGCGTCGGCGACAACGACGAGGCGGTCTGGCCTTGCCACGGATGCATCGATAACTCGTACAGACGCGACGCGGAGATCGCCATGCCGCCCGCGGCGCTGGCTAATCTGCCACGGTCGGGCAGGGGGTGCCCGATGTGCCGGGGCACCTCTGCAGGCGCACGCACGCTGATTTGTCTGGGCCGGCCTGCGCAGCGCATGCTGATGCTCGGCGAAGGCCTTGCGGATGATTGGACAGAGGAGATCGCGGGGAGGGCTATTCCCCTAGCCCACGCGAGGCCCAGAAATGTCGCCGACGCTCGCCCCCCCATAGCGGCCCAATCCTTTGTCGCCATCTTCGCCCGCGCGCTCCCCGAGGTGAGCAGCGGCGAGATTTTGCGCGCGCGCGGGGGCGCGCATCTGCAACGGGCGCGACCGCGGCGGCAGGTGCGCGACTTCTACGCCGACGCCCCCCGCCCACGAAGAGCGCGCCGAGAACAGGCCGGACGACGGCGTTCCAGACATAATCTTGGCGCGGGCCCAGCACGCGGAGGCAGCAGGAGGGGCGGGCGCGACTCAAAGTGGGCCCATGAGTCGGCCGGCGCCGGGCCGGCGCTGCAAGGCCCACGGACGCTGCAGACCAGGATGCAGATGGGGAGACCTCGCGGAGGATGCCCGCGGATGCGTCGATGGAGCAGGCGCCGCAGAGCTCGAAGCCTCTCCAGAGGAAAACTCGGCGGAGTGTCCCATCGCAGTAGATGGCGCGAGCGACTCGGGGTTTTGGCAGATGTCCGCCGCGTTCCACGCCGAGCTGCAGGCCGCGCAGAACATGGCGGCGCGCGCCATCGCCACCGAGCAGCGCACGGGTGAACTCCACGAGCGCGGCGCTGCAAAACCTGCCGCCCCTAGCGACGCGCCCAAGGTCTGCGCCGGCGCGGCCGCCAGGGGGGAGCGCCGAGCAATCGTCCTGGAAACGAGAGAGCTTGGGAAGAGTCCGACGGGCAAGGGCCGCACGCGCGTGGCGGAACAGTTTCCGCAGCGGGGGCAGGCCTGCGTCTCCACGTCCGGAGCGATGTATTTTTTTTGAGGTCTCACACAGGGACGCGACGTCAAACGTGGGATTGCGAGGCCAGCGAGGCACGTCGACCCGATGCGCCCCGATGGAGACGCTGTTCGCTTGATTGCAGGACAGTGGAACTGAAATGCGCGCTTGGGCTTGCTGCGACGCAGTACAAGACTCACGCCACTAGCCGTTGCGACACGCCCGAGCGCGCGGCAACGCTTGGCTGCGCGCTGCGTTGCGACCGGGCTGCGCGCGGGGTGGGCGCTTTTTTTTGACGGCAAGGCCACGGGGCGGATCTGAAGCAGATCGCGACGGCCAAGGCCGACGACTGCGTTGCAGTTCTTTGCGGCCCCACCAAGCGAGGTCGAGACCACGTGCACGGACCTGCACGGCAACGAGGAATCTATCGAGGAGATAGCACAGCCCCGCGGCCCCGCTAGGCCAAGCGGCCTCAAACCGAAGAGGCCGCAAGCGAGGTCGATCGCAACCTCGCGAAGGTTCTTTGCGGCCCCCCCAAGCGAGGTCGAGACCACGAGCACGGACTTGCACGGCAACAAGGAATCTATCTAGCACAGCCCCGCGGCCCCGCTAGGCCAAGCGGCCTCGAACCGAAGAGGCCGCAAGCGAGGTCGATCGCAACCTCGCGAAGGTTCTTTGCGGCCCCCCCAAGCGAGGTCGAGACCACGAGCACGCACTTGCACGGCAACCAGGAATCTATCGAGGAGATAGCACGGTTCCGCGGCCCCGCTAGGCCAAGCGGCCTCAAACCGAAGAGGCCGCAAGCGAGGTCGATCGCAACCTCGCGAAGGTTCTTTGCGGCCCCACCAAGCGAGGTCGTGACCACGAGCACGGACCTGCACGGCAACAGTCGTCTAACCATCGAGGAGACCAACGGATTGCGATGGGGCGCCGCCCAAGCGGTTCCCGACCTCGCGGTGAGCTGCTTGCCGAAGCAAGCGCGCCGCCAGAAGTGATTAGGCGTCTGTTGCCCAACGGCCTCGCCCGGACTGTCTGGGCCCCCATTGTCTTTGGCCGCTCGCCGGAGTAACCTTCTGGTTCGGGCTCACCGGGGCCCCCCGGCCACCGAACGCGATGCGGTCGTATCGTCTTGCGCGCTCGTGCTTGATCCTCCCGCGGCCCCCAACGAGCCGCGCACGAGAAGGTACAGACGCCCCCCCCCCCCTCCCCGACTCACGGCGTAGGATTCGAACGCGCCGCGGCCTTGCGGCACGCGGGGCGCGCCCCGCGGCACGCGGGGCGCGCCCCGCGCCCGCGACGGTGCCAGGCAGGCCCGCCGCAGCGACGGCGGAGAGTGCCAGCGGACTTGCAGGCCGCGCCGGTCGGAGGTGCCAAGGCCCCCCCGGCCGCCCAGAGGCCTGCCGAGGTCAGCGGCGCCGTATTTCACCGGCTAACATAGGTCGTTGTAATAATTCGGAGGCGGATAGACCTCACACGATGACACGTCGACTGAGGAACTGGCCGTTGTCGGTTCACGAGAGGGCGTCGCGGCCGTTATTTTTGCGGTTCCAGGCCCGTCGATTTCGGCCCTGGGTCGTTTTCACCAAAAGGGAGGTTTACTAAAGGGAGGTTTGTCCACCGCCGAGTAATGAATGATCGCGCTGTTTTAACACAACGTATTGCAAAAACGATGATGTGCTAAAGCGAGAAACAGAATTGTAAGAATTGCGCCGCCTAGCAAAACAAGACCACACATCATTTGGTTAACGCAACAACGGGTTTACTAAACTGAGAAACGGATTTTCTAAATCAGGGGCCGTTTTTCTAAATCCCAGGTTTCCTATCATTACCATGACCTGAGTGGCTCGAGCAATTTTGGAGATGCAGAGTTGCCCATGTCGGGCAGGGCTGGGTTCGCCGGGCCACCGGCCGAAGCACCCGTTGGTGGAGTCCCCCCCGTTAGAGGGGCGCTGACGAAGCCAAAGCGTGCCGTCCCGCTGCGCCCGGAGCGCCGCGGCTGGGCGCCCTGGGCGCGGCCTGGTCCCCGGCCCCCGGCGTTCGTCGTCGCTCGTCGCCGTCGTCGTCGGCCGTCGTCCACCGTCGCGGGCACGGGCGGCGAGGTTCCCCCTCGAGCACACGTTCCAGGCCGTCGGGAGGACCTCCGGGGCGGCCGGGGCGAGGGACGGCTTCGTGCGCCTTGTGGTTGACGCGGTCGGCGCCGCCGGTTTTCTTTCTGCCTAAGTCGGACACGTCCCTATTCAGGAAAAATATTGAAAAATGGTTCGACATACTCTGGAGACGATGTTTCGACTATGTTTGGCAGTTGTTGAATATTTATGATTATTCCCAACCCTCCCGTGTGTTGGGTCCTCGTGTTGGATTCGCAGCGCCGCGTGTCTCATTCCTCCTTCCTCCTCCCCCTCCTCCCTGTTCTCATGCTCCGCCTCACTTTTCCCTTCGCTTCCTCCTCATCCTCCCTCCCCCACTTCCCATCACAGCCACCACCATCATTACCACCATCGTCATTATCATCATAGTTTCAGCGCACTCCTCACACGCTTCTTCGCCCCGTAGGGAGCTCCTCCGAAGGCTCCAGTGGCAGCGTCCACATGCGTACTCGGGTCCATTTGGACACACCCCTCCCACGTTTCGTGGCCCATAGGGAGCTCCACCGACGGCTCCAGTGGCAGGGTCCGCATGCGTACTCGGGTCCACTTGGGCACACTCCTGGCACGTCTCGTGGCCCCACGAGGAGACCCACCGAAGGTTCCAGTGGCAGGGTCCGCATGCGTACTCGGGTCCACTCTGCCGAACACATCACATGTTTTGGTAGCCCCATACGGAGCTCCTCCGAAGGCTCAAGTGGCAGGGTCCGCATGCGTACTCGGGTCCATGTGGGCACACCCCTCACACGCTTCGTGGCCCCATAGGGAGCTCCACCGAAGGCTCCAGTGGCAGGGGCCGCATCCGTACTTTTGTCCACTTCGGCGCGCCTCTCGCATGCTGCGTGGCTCAACAGGGAACTTCACCGAAGGCTCCAGAGGCAGGGTTTGCATAGAGTTCCACCGCAGGCTCCAGTGGAGCGGTTGTGCATCGACTGGTCCTGTTGATAGTTTCCACGCACGTAGAAGGGGGCTGGGTTCTTCGCCAGGGTAGTTTTCAATTTTTCTTCCAGATCCGCCTGTAGGAGGACATTCCCGACCTGACTCTGTGCGTCTGACATGGGGTCCGAGCAAATGGGGTCGAAGTCCGAGGCGGGGATTTATCCACAAACACTGCCTGGGGGATCGATCCTCGCGGACCTTCACAGGCGGTGGACATGGACCGATTCGGGCCCCCAGGGGGCCGCACTGTGTCCGTGTCCACCGCCCGCTGGGGCACCAGGACGTCGGCTCCCAGGCGGTGGATGTGGACAAACCCCCGCCTCGCACGAAGGATCGCGCCGCATCGCCGACGCGCCTCGCCGCGGAGCCCCATCTCCTCCGCGCCGACAGAACGCCGAAGTGCATGGGCGGTGCGGTGCGGTCTTCCGACCCCGTCCGCCTCGGATCCAAGCAAGGAGGCCTCTCGAAAAGAGAAGGAGCGAGCGGCGATCGAATGCACCGTGCCCCCGTCTTGTGGATGCCCTTGGACATCGCGACCATCGCCGCGTCTTGTGGATACCCTTGATCATTGATACCCTGCATACGCTTCCGCGTCTTGTAGATGCCCTTGATCATCTCAACCATTTGCGGTCGAATTGGAGATTCTTGCAGCGCCTGTACGAGTCCTGCAGGGTTGACACGATTAAATGCTTTGCTTCAGTCCGACAGCAAAAGTAATAGCTAACAAGAGCCTCCAACAAAGAAGAAGCGAGCGGCGATCGAATGGGGAAGATGCTCAGTCCATCGACGCCCCGAGCAAGAAACAAAGGCGGAACTCGAGATTCTTGCAGCGCGTGTACGAGTCCTGCAGGGTTGATACGATCAAAGGCTTTGCTCCAGTCCGGCAACAAAAGTAATAGCTAACAAGAGTCTCCAACATTATCCTGGCGAAGGGCCCAACCATACGCAATTCCGAATGCCGCCGTTGTAAGTATCGTCGTTGGTGGAACACCCGATGGGGCCACGAAGCGTGTGAGAGGTGCGCCAAATGGAGGTGGAACTGCATGCGGACCCTGCCACTGGGGCCTTCGGTGGAGCACCCTGTGGGGCCGCGAAACGTGTGAGGGGTGCGCCGAAATGGAGGTGGAACTGCATGCGGACCCTGCCATTGGCGCCCTCGGTGGAGCTCCCTATGGGGCCGCGAAACGTGTGAGGGGTGCGCCGAAATGGAGGTGGAACTGCATGCGGACCCTGCCACTTGGGCCTTAGACGGAGCTCTCTATGGGGCCACGAAGCGTGTGAGGGGTGTGCCGAAATGGAGGTGGAGCTGCATGCGGACCGTGCCACTTGGTCCTTAGGCGGGGCTCCCTATGACACCACGAAACGTGTGAGGGGTGCGCCGAAATGGAAGTGGAACTGCATGCGGACCCTGCCACTTAGGCCTTAGGCGGAGCTCCCTATGGGGCCACGAAACGTGTGAGGGGTGCGCCGAAATGGAGGTGGAACTGCATGCGGACCCTGCCACTGGGGCCTCAGGTGGAGCTCCCTATGGGGCCACGAAGCGTGTGAGGGGTGCGCCGAAATGGAGGTGGAACCGCATGCGGACCCTGACACTTGGGCCTTCGGTGGAGCTCCCTATGGGGCCACGAAACGTGTGAGGGGTGCGCCGAAATGGAGGTGGAACCGCATGCGGACCCTGACACTTGGGCCTTCGGTGGAGCTCCCTATGGGGCCACGAAACGTGTGAGGGGTGCGCCGAAATGGAGGTGGAACCGCATGCGGACCCTGACACTTGGGCCTTCGGTGGAGCTCCCTATGGGGCCACGAAACGTGTGAGGGGTGCGCCGAAATGGAGGTGGAACCGCATGCGGACCCTGACACTTGGGCCTTCGGTGGAGCTCCCTATGGGGCCACGAAACGTGTGAGGGGTGCGCCGAAATGGAGGTGGAACCGCATGCGGACCCTGACACTTGGGCCTTCGGTGGAGCTCCCTATGGGGCCACGAAACGTGTGAGGGGTGCGCCGAAATGGAGGTGGAACCGCATGCGGACCCTGACACTTGGGCCTTCGGTGGAGCTCCCTATGGGGCCACGAAACGTGTGAGGGGTGCGCCGAAATGGAGGTGGAACCGCATGCGGACCCTGACACTTGGGCCTTCGGTGGAGCTCCCTATGGGGCCACGAAACGTGTGAGGGGTGCGCCGAAATGGAGGTGGAACCGCATGCGGACCTTGCCACTGGGGCCTTCGGTGGAGCTCACTATGGGTCCACGAAACGTGTGGCCATGATGGAGACGGCGATGATGATGACGACGATGGTGATAAGAACGATGATGATGATGCTGATGATGACGGTGACGATGACGATGATGATGATGCTGATGATGAGGAGGAGGAGGAGGAGGAGGAGGAGGAGGAGGAGGGGGAGGAGGAGGAGAGGAGGAGAGACGCGGGGCACCGTCTCTTCAAAACGAGGACCCAACACCACAGGATGGTTGGGAAAAAGAAGAAGCGAGCGGCGATCGAATGGGGAAGATGCTCAGTCCATCGACGCCCCGAGCAAGAAACAAAGGCGGAGCTGTCCGCGCCTTCTCCACTGAGTGGGGAGAGGCACCTCGCTCGGGCCCGCGGGGCCGTGGCGACGGGCGGCTCGGCACGAGTGGACGGTCCGCGGCGGGCCGCCGGGACGTGTGGGCAGCCCGCAGTAAGAAAGCCAGGCCTCGGAACAAAGATAGCGAACACTCATGCCACATTCATCTGTGAACGCCTCCCCGTGCCCCCAATGCTCAAAGTTGGCGGTGGGTCTGTTGAGTTGCCCCTCGACCGCAGTCTCCCCCGCACGGTGCCAACTTTGAGTCTGGGGGGCAGTGGGGGTGTTCACTAGTTGTTTCTCTCGACCGACAGTCGAGCATCGGAAGTCCGAGCACGGGGACCTGCGGACTTGCCCGTGCAGCCGGCCGCGGGGCGGGACCGGCCGAGACGCCTGGGCACACGAGGCGGCGCAGCCGCCTCCGCGCTCGGCACCGACGCCCCGGGGAGAGGGCCGCTGCCTGGCGCCCTGCCATCGCCGTCGCCCCAGCATGCTAATTAGTTGTACTTAGTAGTTAGTTGCTCCGCGCGCTCGCCGGGGCGCGCTGCCTTGCCTCCTCGGTCTTCCTCCTCCCCTCCTCCTCTGCCTCTTCCGGCTTCTCTGCGCTCTGTTGTCACCCGTTCTTGTCGTTGGGCTCCTCATGGATGGTAAAAAATAAAACAATTGCGTCGCCCCCCAGGGGAGACGCGCGCACCGAGAAGTCTTGCAGTTGTGCGCCGTGGCGGGCGCTTTCCGGCCACACCGCTCGGGAAGCGATGTGCTACCAGATGGGTATACTACACGTTCGGGTCGGACGCGCGCCTCCAAGGAGGACATGTACAGCATTAGTATGTATACTGCGCGTCCCATGCCACCGACCCAGAACTCGACAACCCCCGCCGTCCCACCGAGCACGGGGACGGGGAGGCGTGGGGGCGAGGACCAGTCGGCAGCGAGCGAAAACGGGGGAACCGCGAAGGAGGAGAAAGCCTGCTCGGAAGGCGGCGGCGGGGCTTCTCAGAAGGAGGAGGAGGAGGAGGAGGAGGAGGAGGAGGAGGAGGAGGAGGAGGAGGCGGCCCTTTGAGAGGTTTGCTGTGTCTTCGGGGAGGGCATCGTCGAAGTCTTCTCGGGGGGCCGCAGGACTTCCGAGCCTTCTCGGAAGGCCCGCCCCCTCTCGCTTCCCCCCCTCGCTCGCCGCCGAGGCAAACAACGATGGGGTGCAGCACTGGTCTGGGGGAAGAGGAACTCGAGGACGTCGGGTATCGTTCGGGGGTTGCGAAAGGTGCCCCTGGCCCAAGGTACCCCCAGCTTTTCGCTCAATGTTGGAGCCCCTGGGACCCTCTGGGCCTCGTGAGGGTTGCTCTGGAGGCCGTAGGGGCATCCTTGGAAATCCTGGGGGCACCTTGGGCAAGGGGCACTTCTAGCAACACCCGAGAATCGTCAGGGGTTCCGGGCGCCGGCCACTCGAGCAAGCCGAGCTGCCGGGGGTCCGGGTATCCTCTCGTGCTTCCCCCCCGGGCTCGCCGCTGCCCGTCCCTCTCGCGAGGACGCGCTGTCGGTG